GTCAGACTTTATCCAAACAAGCCAGCTATCCTGAGTTGTTAGGAATCCAGTTTGTGTGGTCTGTTTGTGTGTTTCCTTTTCTCCACCACCAGGAGGTGCCCTGTCTTCGTTGGGCCTCCCTGCACACCTGCGGCTCATTGGATCATTATCTGGAGGAGTATTTGAGCAGTGGACTGTCACTACCTCGACGCCAGAGTGTTTGCCAGCTTTGGGTACTCTAGCAAAGCTGAGATTAGCTGAGTCTAACCTAAGAGGTGTTTCTCAGAGACTTATGTTCTTTTGTCTTTGTTTCTTCGGCAGGAAGAATTCCTGTTTAACTGGAATACCTGGACCTTCTCCCCTTGGAAGGAGAAGCCGAGTTCACACCGAGCAGGGGAAAACCTCCAGATGATCCGTTCAAGTTCCCATCGGAAATCCGAGTGACAGTCCGCTCCATTACTCATCTGTGTCCAACGTTTGTTTACCTGTTTGCCCTCCAACGTGTTTACTATTCTCTGGATTATCCCACACAGAGTGGATTCAAGAACTGACAAGGCCCCCTCAAACGTGAGTCCCTCACCAGCATTACCTATCAACATCCTAGATGCATGGTCCCTGAACTGACCTCTGAACTTCCCTACTCACTTCCAGTTCTGGTTCACCAGCTCACTGAGTTCCAGATCCAACCCCTGTACTCTTGCCTCAATAAACCTGTTAAACTTTTCCCGTGCATGTGGGTCAGATTCGTAAAACGGATCATTATGACAGAGAGGAAGTGGAAGAGTGGTCTATTTTCCACGGTGAACATGAATGCAGCATTGCATGCACAAAGATTAACGATGTCAGATGCTGCTGCTACAGTAAATAAAGCTAATACGGCTGATATAAAACAAAAGTAGAGGTCCACTTTCCAAAATGTGGTGCGGATCACAGTCTAAAATATTTATGAAGGGTGTGTATGTTTACATCTGAGCATGCATGTATCTGTGGGCTTTGAATGTGTGCAAAGAAAGTTGATGAAGCACTGCTCATGTGTGCATTGTCCTTGATAGTACTATGTTAAGTAATACGCTGGTCATCAACCGGCCCCGAATGGACCAGTTTCACAGATGTCCTCAGGGAAGGAAGGAGCAGAGCGAGATGTTTACTTAATATCCAGTGGAGCTGAGTAGATATATATGAGAAAGCATCTCCTTTAGAGCAAGGGATTTTGAACAGCCTTTGATCCATGGCTGCAACTCCTGCAATTGTCTAAGTTAGCATCCATTAGCGGGTTGTTGTTTGCAGCCATGATCATGTGGAAGCAGCATCATCATCTTGGTTTGCTGTAGGTAAATAAACCTAGATTTTTTGATTGCATCCTACTGAAAAAAGGTGGGACATGACCGTTCAGACAGCTTTAAAAGTACCATATACGAAGATGGCAATATTCTGATTATTAAAGGTCAAAAGACATAATTTGGGTTGTTTAGAATGACATAAAAATATCAGATATGGGACACATATGTGCAAATTTGAGCTAAATTTTCCCGTAATATAGCCTGATCGAAATTGGGAGGATAAGGGTGATTGGGGTGTGTCACAATAAAGGTGGGAAATAACATTTTCTTTTTTTACCTTTTCCATCAATTTACCGTCATTCCACTGTCACAAGTACAAAGCAACGAAATGAACTTTCTGCATTTGGGAGCAGTGGGCTGCTGGGAGAGTGTTAGTCTGTGGGAGTGGGGCTTGAACTCAGAACCTCTGGAATCTAAGCGCAATGCCATTAACGCTAGGCCTGTCATGGTTTTGGTTATGTTGTGCTTTACTTTGCTCCATGTTTCCTAGTTTTATTGGTTTAATTCTTATTTTGTTGTAGTTTCTAGATTTATGTTAGTTCTCAAGTTTTTCTGTTTTCCTCTGCCCTCTTGTGTGTGTTCCTTTTCCCTTGGCTCCCTCGTTGTCTCCTCACACCTGCTCCTTGTCAGCTTGTTAGCCCTGCCATTGTCTTAGTCAGCTACATATACTCTCCCTCTGCTGTCACTCCTTGTTGGTTCCTTGTTGTTGCTGGTCCTGTCGTCACTGTTGTCTTCTCACCTCGTCTCTCCCTGGCTCCTTGTGCTTGTTTTCCCCTGATGTCTCCATGATTCTGGTCTGTGTAACATTTTAAGTTGGATTTTTGGATTTTGTCCCCTATTGTTTGTGTTACTATTAAAACTACAAGAATTCACCTCAGCCTCTCTGCCTCTGCATTTGGGTCCTCTAAACCACAACCAAGACGTGACAAGGCCGCCACTCCCACCATATTTGTCCTCCAAATGTAAGCATTTTATAGGAATGTGTAGACTTTTCACCTCCATACTTTAATTTATAAAGATGGGTTTTAAAATTGGAAATTTGGGTGTGTAGAAAAATGTGACGTACGGCAGAGCTCCTGGGACCTCCAGCGAATGTAAATCCCTCTCCGGTTGCACTCCTCAGCGTAGGACGCAATAGCTGTGCAGAGACACTCGCAATCCCCCCCAGAGTCACAGCTGCAGACATCCACAAGACAAATAACAGAGGATGAGCTCAGACATTCCTTTCTACAAAGAATGAAAGTCAACAGTTATTTGGATCAACTCTTTGGAAGTGGGGACTGCTGATGGATGAGTTACAGTACTTCTAGATGAGAATGTCAACAGATTGTTTCCATCTTAGGAAAACAAATAAAACAAGCTGACTTTGGCAGAGTGGCTGAAATAAAACGGAATACATACAAGTTCATCTGATTGTAAGGTGGTGTTATATCAGATCCAATGCCAGTAGTTGTGTTACTATTCAAAAGTCATGCAAAATGTGTGAATACTTTTAAAATGTTGAATGTAAAATGTTAATTAGAGATGTTTCCGTCAATTGGAACAAATGAATGGACAACTAATCTTGGCAATTTTACGTCCTGAGATTTTAGAGGGAAGGATTATTCTAAAATGGAAAAAAAATACACTTTAGAATACACAAGGAGAGCAAAGTATCTTTTTTTATCATTTGTTTACTGTTTCCATCAAAATGAGCTGCTGAGGTACAGCCACCAACCGTTGCTCAACCTCTCTAGTGGCTGAGCCGAATGAAGTTGATTTAAACTATATCAGAATTTACATTGCGTCATAAAACATCGACTTCTCTAAACATTTATGTTTGTTGTGCTATTTAACTTGATTCATGCACGTCTACGTAATCCTCATGAACTCTGCTCTCTGTGCAACAGCCCCTGCCTCTCCTGGAAAATCAGTAATGGAAAAAGAAAGAAGAAAAACAAAACATTTTATATGGAATATTATACAAAAAATTATTTCCTTTTTTTATTTAGATGAGTGCATTTTTCTTCAAGAAGAGAAAACATTATTTCCAAAACACACTCTCCACCTCTGCCCAGCTGAACTATCGACCGAGAATCTTCGGTTTAAAAACTTCCACTGTTTGTTCTCTTTGCTCCAGAGCGAGGTACCATCAGCCAACTCTGCCCCTAAAATCCATATAGAATTGTAACAACAGCTTTGTTTCTTGATGTTAAAGGAAAGCGCTTTATTTGCAACTTAAAGCTTCTCTCACCGGTTCTTTTTCCTGAAAATAGATCCCTCGGCACAAACTCTTTAAACAACACTTCATAACTTATATTAAAAAAACATGAGACATGACAACAGATTTTGATGGAAATTGTAATCTTACTCAGATCAGAGAAGTTGCTTAGAATGAACAGAAGGCAGCTGCTCACTTCTCAGGAAGTGGCCCCGATTAACAGTTAAAGAAGCATTTTATACATCTCCAGTCTGCCACATCATCTTATTTTACATCGAACACGTAGCAGATTATTAGATATCCATGGTTCCAGCCTTATCAAAATACTACAATTTGTTCTTAGCTGAAGGACGCCGCTCTCATTTGATTCCCAAATCTTTGCCGCATACAGAATGAAGATTATAACTGTATATCCGCACAGAGGAACTGTCTTAATTAGATAAAATACTGGGGAAAACATCAGTTCTGACATGCAGCTAATAATAAGGTGTAATAAACTCACGTATCACCAATAATAATTATCCTAACAGTGAGAATAAATTAGTCATTTGAATTTAAAAAGTAGTTCTTAGAAAAACCTATTATTTTTTTTTTATCAAAGTATACCATTAACAATAAATATTCCATTAAAATTCCAAAACTTTTAAGCACAACTGACTTTTTAATTGAGATTATTTTTTGTTTTTTGTGGAATTTGGTACTGACTAAATTCCATCGGTACTACACAGTACCAATTTATGTAAAATCTG